TAAAATCCAATAGCCACCACCTTTTCCTCACCAACTCACTCTTCACCTTCAGCGATATCCAACCCACCCCACTGCAGCAACCAACTAGCTAACCCCTCCCAGATTCAACCTCCCCAGCCCCTAAACAGGGCCGGCCTTGGGGGTAGGCAAGAAGGGCCTTAGGGTGGGCCTCCAATTAAGGAGGCCCCAAATTTTTATATATTATATATATACATATTGTCCAACTTTAAAATTTTTTTAAAAAAATAGAAGTCAACGTTGTAATTAAACAAGAAAGGTTATTACTCTTTCCATCCAGAAGCTCTTCATTTCCTACGCAGCTAGCAACAGCCTCTCTCTTAGTTCTTTCTCCATGGAACTCTATTTAATCCAACAATTTCTTAATAATCCACCACTATATTTTTCTCTGTTTTCTCCATCTCTCTTTAATTCATATCCATTATTTTCAGTTTCTCTCATCCCTCTTTTCTCATATCATATTGTAACCCTAAGAATCAATCTCACACTAAAAAGCTCATAAATTGTCTTTGAGATTGATGGTGACCAAGAGAGGAGCATGAGAAATTGAAAAGGTAATTAGATTTATAATTTTTTTCTTTATATTTGTTCCTTCCCAGCAAACTATTGTTTCAATTTCCAATAGGAACAAAACACAGAGTGGTAATTAGACTTATGAATACTTGATTGAATTGCATGTATCTTATCATTGCAAATGTACATGAATCAGGTGGAGGTACGGAGTAGTTTCTCAAATTTTAGTTTCAACACAGCTAGCCTCAATAAAGCTATGCAAGATTTAGGCTTTTTTATGTAAGCTTTAACCATGTTTTATTGCTCTTTGTTTGCTGCTTAATTTTAATTTTTTTTTTTGTAACACTTTAGTTCATTGGTTGAGTTTGCTGGTTGTGTTTGGTGTGTTTGTTTTGTTCATTAGTTGTCTGTTTTTCACTCTCTAGACTTAAGAGTTGCACTAGAAAAATGGTTAGGAAACATGAATTTGGAAGTGCAAAAAGAAATAAAAGGAGAAAAATAGAAAAAATGATTCAAACTCAAAAAGGATTTTACATACCACAAAGAGGATTTTGCTAAACTCATGTGATGAAGCCTGAAGCTAAAAGCTAATCTTAAGGGAAAGGTTTAGTATTTTGAACAAATACTTAGTTTTACTATATCTTGACATGTTCCCATTATTGGTTGCTGGAATATTGGTTTGTAAATTTGTAATTTCCTTCATGATATTAAATATCTAATCTGAATTTTTTTCTTATGAAGATATGTCCTATTATAATGCATGCTACCTTTTTTATTAACACACTTCACTCTATATAAAATCATTTTATTTGTCGTTTTTTCGCAATTGTATACTAAGGAAAGGGGCCTCATTTAGTTTATCGCCTAGGGCCACCCAAAAGTCAAGGGCGGCCCTGCCCCTAAATCCCTCAATCATTCATATGCAAATCTAAAATCCAAATACCCAAATCCCTCCGAGCGTATAGGTTTAATACGTCGTCGTATTGGCGACAAGTGACTAGGTTCCAAGATGGCCACGAGATGTGTATTCGAAGCTGGCCATGAGTTCCAGCACCATCGGATGCCTTTGATTGCTTCAAATTCCATGGGTTGTCCCATGGGTTAGAGACGAAGTTGACAGAGAGGGTAAGAGATGAAGAGGGTCTGGGACATCCACCCTTGTCAAATCTCTCTCTCTCTCTCTCTCTCCCACCTCTAGCAACTCCATACCACAACTACAGTCCAAATCCAAATACTGATTCATTTCTTGTAATAACTCACCCAAGACAAAGTCCGATCTGTGTTTATGAGTTTATTTAAACAAACCATAATAAATAAACTCATAAATCCTAGAGAGAGATAGATTCATCTGAATATATCCTAAGCATGAAAAATTTTAATTTTCTATTTAAGACTTGAGAGAGAAAGATGAGGGTCAAATGGGAAAATGATGGAATGATTTTTGTGAAAAGGAGAGAAGTGAGAGAGAGTAAACTCTGCTCCTAGACATGGCATGGCACGGCACTGATACACTGACAAACAAGGGGTGGGGAGCTTGTGAGGATGGAATCCGATGATCCTGTCCAGTAGTGGTGAGGTTTTTCGATTCTGATTTGTTACTATTTTTAATTTTTTGTTATTTTATTATGTTGTTTAGGCTGCAAGGGAGGGGGGGATATCGGAGAATATGGGTTTGGTGGGCATAGGGAGATGTTGAAGAAGGCAACGAGGGTTTGGTGGTCTTCTTGGTTTTGCTAGATCGAAGCGATGGGGAGATGGGGTTGGAGGTTAGGCTAGAAGGTAGTGTGGTATCAAAGAAGATGAGTTTTTTTTTATTTTTTTTTATTTTTAATTATTGGTTTTTATTGTTTTTCATTTATTTCATTTATTTTATTTTTTATGTAGAGTCCACGTCAATTAAAAAATAAGTCTCACAAATGCCACATAAGCATTTAATAGATTTACTAACGGTTTGGTTAATAGATTGGGTAAATTGTAGGATTTTCGAGAGTTTGAGTATGTACTCGTAAATGTCTCTAAAATTGAGTATGAACTTAAAAATGACCCCATAATTTAGGGTGTTTTATGCAGTTTGTCCTAAAAATAATTAAATCGTTTTCACATTGATTTCAAATGTGATTGGAATAATTAATTAGTTGTTAATTTAGTAATACTCTCATTTTCAACACTAAATAGTTACATAAAAAACTTCCCATTAATCGTAAGCAGCATGTGGATGGATAGCAAATTACAAATCAGAATTAAAACTTTGACGTTAATTGGGACACCTGAGTGACATTGTTGTCTAGTTAAGATCTTAGGGTGAGGACCACCAATTATGGAACCTCATTGTAGAAAATGTTAGACAAAGCACATGTGATGGTAGTAAATACATGAATTAGCAATCTCATGACCTCATTTATGAAAACAATCTTCTTCATTTCACGAAAGAAAAAAGAAGAGGAGCAATGTTATTGTACAAGGACCACCAATGGCTGTTGTCGTCCTAGTTAGTAAGAGCATCCACAATGACTCTTTCTATTTCTTAGCTAAAATTTGGCTAAGAATATAAGAAAATTATTTTATGAGCTCTCTAAAAAATTTCAACTCCAACCATACTCCCTAATTTGGAGAGTCATAAATGCTATAACTCTTTTTTGATTGGTCTATCTCTATTAAAAAATAAAATAAAAAATGGTTAGCATTAAATAAAGGTTTGAAATACTCATTAAATAAAGCAGCATTAAATTATAGGGAGCCACTAGGAGTCTTTTCTCTCTCCTCAGATTTAGGAGCTCCTAGAGGACTCCCTATTTTAGGAGGTGGATAGGGAGCGTAGTTGGAGTTACATTTTTATCATTCCTCCCTAAAATTTGTCTAAAGAGATGGTTTAGGGAGCCCATTGTGGATGCTCTAAGGCCCAATTCTCTAATTCAATGAAGTCCAATATTTTGTATAAAAATTTGGGCTCTAATTTAAAATAATAGCTACTTGGGCTTGATTATCTACCTGATCACCTATAATTAAGAGACCAACAATACAAAGACAAACAACATTATATTGAAAAGAAAAGAAATATAACTATGAACTACAATTTAGGATAACAACGTTGAGAGTAAATACATCCATTAATTAAATAAAAATCCTTGTTTTATCATTTTATCCTTAGTAAATTTGACTCTTCTCCTTCAAATTAATATTTTCTTATCTACGACCCATCATTTTATTTTTCTATAAATAAAACCCGATTTTTATGTGAAAAACTCGATAACTAGGATCCAACTCATCAAGTTTCTTAATCAACCTTAATGTGTTAAATGTTATATTTTTAAATTCCTATAATACCCTTGATTACATTTTTAATGTGATTTGTTTAAGAAATTAGCTGCAATTCAATGCCGATTAATTGTGTTTCGATTTTGTATAGATTCCAAGGATTTAATGGGTCATTTTTTTCCTTATTTAAAAAAAGTAATTAAAACTTGGTGTAATTACTGTCTTATGGTTTGAATATACTCGTTGTTCCTATTAAAAAAAAAAAACAAGAATATATTCGTATTTTTTTTCAAATTTGACTACTTGATCATTTCATATTTTAATTTTCAAATTAATAGCTTATTTATTTCCTTTTATTTATACAAATTTCCAAATTCAATAATTGTTATGGTTTGAAATTAATTTGTTCAAAGGGAAATAACATCTTATTCTCTATTTGACCCCTATGTGTTTAGGTACATGAATTTACCTACATTTTTTCTTAGCAACCTATGCCTCTAGGTAGGTAAATTAATATACAACTAACTAAGGTGGTACTTTTTTAGCTACCTATGCCTCTAGGTAGGTAAATTAATATATATAAAAACTAAGATAAATCCTTAGCAAAAAAAAAAAAAAAAAAAAAAAATGGGGAAAAAATTTAAATAACTATGGGTAAATAATTTACCTATACGCATTTATAGGTATTTTTACCTATGGGTAAATAATGTACATATATTTTCTATAAATTATTGTGCACCTATTTTTAATTTGTGAAAAATGTATGAAAATTTTAATTACAAAGTAACTGACCTAGTTTTTTTTATAAAAAAAATTTGGTAAATAATATACCTATATTTTTATACGTATATATTTATATTTATATTTTTCATAGGTACATTATTGGATATGTAATTTACATATAATTTTTTTTTGGTTTACGATTTTAAGGGGCGATATGTTAGAGAGAATGGCAACCAAAAGAAATAGGGTAATTGATATGCTATTAATAGGGAGTATAAATTACACTTACGACAATTAATGAAATGCTTGAAATAAATTATAAATAAAATACAAAGTCTGGTGGCAACAATATAAAAACATAGGAATACTATGACCTCTTATATCCTACTGATCATTTCAGTTTGAAATTAGGTTTTACACATAAATTTATAGAGTGATATGTATATGTCTGGGAAATAGAAAATGTAGAGACCCATATTGAACAAGCCCTTTTATTCATAAAGTTGAGAGGGCAAACGAGGTTTGATGAGAACTTGAAGAGGGGTCGCCTTGACGTTTGTCAGTCCAAAGCTCTCAGTCATATCAATCGGTGCACTCGAGGGGTTGGAGATTTCAAACGCATGTACAAAATTAGCCAACGTAAATTGCACCATTTGAAGGCCAAATGCCAAGCCAGGGCATGCTCTTCTCCCACTTCCAAATGGAATTAACTCAAAGTGCAATCCCTTAACATCCACATCCCTGTGGGTGGTCAGAAACCTCTCTGGCTTGAATTCCAATGGATCGGGCCATATTCTCGGGTCGGTTTGGATCTTCCAAAGGTTCGTGATCAACCGGGTGCCCTTTGAGACATGGTAGCCGCCTATGGTGCAGTCCTCGGTGAACTCTCGTGGTCCAGATAATGGTGCTGCTGGGTACAAACGCAGCGTTTCTTTCACTATGGCTTGGATGTAGACCAGCTTGCTTATATCTGACTCACCCACAACTCTCTGTCTGCCTATTTCAGTGTCCAGTTCATTTTGGGCTATTTTAAGCACGTGAGGGTTGTTCAATAATAGTGATATTGCCCATGTTAATGTGACCATGGTGGTATCGCTACCTCCTGAAATCATAGTCTGCAAAAGTACAATTTATTTGATTAATTATTTATATTAAACTAAATTATATAGATTAAGCTATAGGCATATGTTTGATTACCAAGATTGTGGCTTTGTTGACTGTGTCAGCATCAAAACCGCCTAGGTCTGCACCATCAAGCACAGAAAGCATGGCGTCTATGAAGTCTGGTTCCCCTTTAGCATCACCTCTTGCCCTCCTTCTCTTGTGCTCTTCAACCCACCCTCCAACGATGGCGTCCAGTTCTTTGGCAATCTTCTTCATCGCCTTCTCATGCCCACCCAAGTCCAACCACCGAAGATAAGGCACCGCATCCCCCACCACAAATAGCCCCCAATAATGAAAAAACTCCCTCAATGCACTCTGAACCCTCCTTGCTTCTTTCTTCTCATCCTCATCGGCCGCAACCGAATAACGCTTTCCGGCCACCATTCTAAGAATCACGTTCAAAGTCATGTCCCCAAACCACTGCTTCAACTCCACCAAAACTCCGTCGCTATTGTTAGAGTAGGATTGTGACACTTGGCATAAGATTAGAAGATGTGATAGTTAGTTAGTTAAGATGGCTGTGTATAAGTAGTGTATTCTGATTTTACCTATTCATTAAGAAAGAAAGTTCATTTTTCTGTGCTCTCTCTCTCTCTCTATTCCAGATATCTCATTCTCTCTCTCTAGAAATTGTTCTTCATAGTTCTTCTTTTGATATTGGTTAACA